AGGGGGCCCAAGCTCGACAGCAAATTTTTGGACAAAAGTAGGGAAATTTTCGGAAACTCTGTAGAAATTCCGGGAAAAGTGGTAGGAAGTTGGGAAAAATCTAAGAACTTTCCACGTTTCACATGTGTTACTTACCCTCCCCCTCCACTCCCGCTCGACGGAATGTTTTGTTGGTAGTGCAGGCGGGGGGGGGGGTCGCACCGAGACCCTCGTTCGCGGGGTGGGGGTCGTACTGACACCGCCGTTTTACAATCACTGTACCCTGGACACATCACTGCTGGGCGAGCTATATAAGCTGCTGGCCATCGAAAATTATCGATGTTGAAGTAATAAGCTAAATGGCACCATCCATATGAAATTTGCCCGAACGTAACCCCCCGGATAATGAATCAACCTTAAGGCAGAAGAGCTAACCATAAGTAAGGCACTGAAAGGAAAAAAATCGAGAATCAATAATAGGTTGTGATGACTCACTGAAACCATAAAACATTCAAGGCCGATTAGGAGTATAATTCAAAACTGGAACGCGGTATAATATTCACGATGCAAAAGTTGATGATACATTAGGAATCGAGTATTTGAGTGACTTGAAATATCGCCACCCAAAAATCCATCAAAAATATCATTAGAACTGCCAGACTTTCAGAAGGAGTGTGTTGAGGTTTCCTTGCCCATCATTTTGGTTTCTCAAATAATTCCATTTTGACGAGGTTACACTCGTTCAAAGCAGAGACAGTCGCGCAAGTTTTTTCATTATCCCATCAAAAACCCGAAGAAATTTCCCTAAGTGGGGAAGATTTAGAGGAAGTTCAACGCAACTGCAAAATTGTGAAAATAGTGAACCTAGTGTTTTGACGGTACTATTTTTTCGTTCCACGAGTGTGTCGCTTCTGAGGAAGTTACAGATGTCCAGAGAAGGAAAACCTGCCACTAAAAAGGGTGAGTGAAAAAATACCTGCCCCAATGCAAAACAGTAGCATGATGCGCGAAGTTTGAATTCGACAATACCGAAGAGGGGCCGCACCGAGGCCTTATTCTGGAAAGAGGAATCAGCACGACTTCTGGAAAGGGAAGTTCGTGCTGATTCCTCTCTTCACTCATCGCGATGCTATACTGATCTTGAGGGATGGTCTCAGGGCTCCCTATGTAGCAGTGTCTCACCCAGCTGGGCACCTTTCACTGTCTACGAAGAAATTCTCGATCGTGATAAAGTGGTTTCCCTAGAATAATCTGCAGAGATCTGCCAATCTCAAAATGTTGAATATTATTGGATTTTTGACGCAACGATCAGGAAGGTAGATGTGTGAAGGAGGCTGAGAGAAGTATGAGACTGGGTGTTAGCGCACGCTGCTGATTACTTTGAAAAAAACCCCAAAGTGCCGTTCAGAAATAAGTTTCATACTGAAGACGAGTCAAATAATTCGAATCCAGCAAAACTACTAATAGTAAGTATTAGTGTAAATATGTATATATAAATGATATAATAAGCAATAAATAAATAGTAGAAGCTACTCATTCCAAAGCCCGTTGGCGGAATAGGAGTTACCATAAGTAATATACTCTAGTTCGCCGCGGACGGTTGGGCGTGTCAGGCAGTATGAGTGTGCACGCCGTCAAGCCGTTCTCTGCCTTCTTGTTGAAACGCGCATGCGACAAAAAGTGGTAGAAAACGAGTAATACGAACGATATGATACAGTCATATCACTTGCTCGCTTTACAACTGGTGGAGAACGGGTTTGGCACCGCGCCAAACTCATCCCGCCTGACACGCCCAACCGTTCGCAACAACTACACTATAACCATTGCACTGAAAACGAGAAAGGACACAATTCAAAATCTCATAAGAAATAATCCTCGTCATCAGAAAATTGGCAATCTGAACAAGTGATCTATTTCGATCGGTGCCTCTCTCTTAGTTTTCCCCTGTGGAATTGGAGTTTGGGAGGATATCTGCACACATTCCCATGAGAAAAAGCTCATTAGTTAATCCGAAGCGGAGTTGAGTACGAAGTGAAGTCATAAACTGGAGTAACCCTTCCGAAATGAGTCAGAACTGATGACTGTGTAACTGCAGCTTCAGCATAATTTCATCGACTATCTTATCGCGCCCAATCCTCATAAAGGTCCTGAGAATTCAGATGGAATGACTCAAAGGCTTATCACTTTTTGTTCCGCTGACTAGTCAGCAAAAGGTTGTTTTGAAAGCCCAAGTACCTCTTTACACAAACCATCAGGAATATCTGAGGAGTATCTCAGTATCTAGGAGAAGGATTCAGTGAATATTGGGCGGATCACTGTCCAGCAGAGCTAAGTTGCTCGGTGAAAAGATAAAATGATGACGAGTATCAAAGGATAGGCGAAACATAACCACAAAACCATAAGTCACTCTGGTCAGGCTCCGGTAAGAAACTAGGCAATAGACTGGTAAGACAGACTTTCAAGAATCATAGGAAAAGTTAAGTAGGCAGTAAGTTGATTGTATCAGATATGCAAACACAAAACTCACCATGGTTTCGGCGCTGCTGTTACGTGCACCATAATGGTGTTCACTTTGATGGCGGGCTGTTGATGACAGGGGAGGGGGCAGGGGAAAGCGGCGATGCGGGAATCCGACGCGGGCAGACCGCTTTGTCGTCCTAATTTACATATATGTGATCCAGAGAGAAAGCGAGGTGCGTTCATAGGTGAAAGGTGCTATGAGAGTGTGAAGTTTTGACTTCTACAGTGGATTCAAATTTTTGATATAGGAAGGTCAATCAAGTGAGAGGTAAGACTTACGCTCTAAAGAGAGTGCTAAGCGAGGTTCATGAGTTTACGCTCCTCAAACGACGTGGGTTTTTCCTTCACACTCGTTTCCAAATATCTGTTTCCTTTAATCTGAGGGTGAAAACTCACCTGATTGGTCACAAGTATTTTCTTGATACACTGTGCAAGTAGGGAATGCGCGGTCCTCCCACTCCCTCTCGAATCTCTAAATGTCCGCCAAGGAGGCTCCCGTTTGCTACTCCAAAGTAGGCAGGGAGCGTACCCGAAATCGACCTAGTCTTTCTAGTGCTCGTCCAATAATCACGATCAACTGCAAGGAGAACGACCTTCTCATGTCCGATTTTCTCTACTTTCTTAAGAGCTGGCAAGTCAGGCAACACCGACATCTTGCTCGTACCCCTCATTGCCTACGAGCTGCGTTCACAAAACGTGCCTCTGGAAGAATTTCTTCGGCGAACGCTTCCCTTGGTGACTACAAAGAGGCTTCTCTCAGTTTTTTCGTGAGAATGGAATTACATTAATGGTTTCACTGGGTCTCACTAAAGTGCCTCATTCATTTTTTATTCTCATTCAAACGGTTGCTGTCCTTTTGTGAAAATCCTCATTATGATGTTCTAATAAAAATAGCATTTAGCGAGCTGGAACCATCCAGTGGCTCCTGTATACTTTACTTTGCCATCAGGGCAGTAACACGCCGGAGAATCCCCAACAGGGGTCGTATCTGACCCGAAGAAATTTCATCTTAATAGTTGATTTTCGCTGTTTCGCGCGCTATCCGCTTCGCTGGGGGCTCCCTCTGGAAAAGGATGTCGTATTTGCTCGTCGTTTTGAGAAAGAGAGGGGGAATCCATCTGGCCCCAAGAAGATAGCTGGATCGGTGGCAAGATTTTGGGTAAAACCTGTTTGTAAGATGGGGAAAAGGAGTGGCAGCATAGGAGGGAACTGGGGATGGGTGGTGGGGGGGAGGCTATTTTGCAAGGTTGTACCCCAGGGGCAGGACGTCAGAACTGCAGGTGGCAAAGTTCCCATAAAAATCTTGGTTTCCTCACCCTATTTTTTTACCTGTTGTTGCTGCCCGCTTACCCATTTCAGAAGGTCTTCTTTTTTTGCAAGTAAGGTTCCTCACTTGGAGGGTAGCAAGGACTTTCAGATGAGGCTTGAGAAGTCTTTTTCAAGGAAATGAATTAAGGAGGACTTTGGTACAGCCCATGGGACACTCCACCTCAGATCGCTAACAGATTCCATTTCCTCCTCTTCCATATCCTCCCATACCACCATTAAGGAAAAGATAAGGACAGCGCCAGCTCTTTACCGTTGCTTAGGAAACAGCGAGTACATTTTCAGCGATTCTACGTCATTCCACTGCGTTCCTCTCCTGTTTGTTGACCTGCGGGAAGTAGCTGATCCGACTTTAATCCTTACAGACAAGTCCGGAACCAAATGCGCATTCGATAAGAACTGGAGGATTTAATCATTCCGGGTGACATGGGAACTTACCCACCAAAATGTCACGGTGATACCCGCCTTTTGCCTTTGATGAAAACTCGGGTCATAAATAGGACATAAGCGCCCATTCACTTCTCTTAGGACTTTGAGATCATCATTTGCAGCAAAACCAACTTCGTTTGCAGATGGGAAAAGAGATGTTGAGAAAACTGGTTCGACCCAATGATGATGATTCCATCTGTACGGTCAAGCCAAGGAATGTTTCACCTACCATAGAACGCCAACATTCGGATCATGTTTGAGATAAATATATCCCTGACCCAAGTTCCTTCATTTCGTAGAGCTGAGGTGATTCGGTTCCAGATTTCGGAAAGGAAAACACAACCTCTCTGCGAATTTCTGGGATTCCTGAGTGGTTTTAAGTGGTTTCGAAAGGCCATGTATCAGATGTGTCCGTCATAGATTTGAGATCCTATCCGGCGTCACTTTCCGTTTCTGAACCGGCATGTGTGAGATCGTGCGATGTGATATAACACATGCCCACGCCACACAGTAGGGGTTCAACTAGTTTCCTTGCCCTTTACGGGATCACGAAGTGGCCGCAATGTAAACCGCAGCAATCGTCAACACAATAATCACCGAGGATACATAAATATGCTATCTATTCTGCTGCAAAAAATACCAGAACAGGAGAATCGGCACCATTTTAGGCTTACCACGCGCGGTCCGGAATCAAATCCCGGATCGGCTCCCGTCCAGGCCAACCAAGCCTTCTACCCTCCGGACGGTAAATTGGTACCAGATTCGTCTGGGAGGATAAAACACTGACTTGTACATCGGCTGGCCCCCGTAGTCATTGTATAGGCCACATCGCATTCAATAAGCCACTACGATTCTGAATGGAAGTAATGCGTGCCGCATCCAAAAAGAACCATTCAACCACGAATACATCATCCTTTTATTATTATTCAAAACGGTAACCCAGAACTGTACCGACCATCTCGCGAAATGAGCGAAATTGGCCATACCCGGTTGGAATCCTCATGAGTTTTCTTGACCGGCCCCTGTAGCAGTCGTAAAAGAGTTGGACTTCATGTTCCATCGATTACATATGCACTGCACCCACTACGTGCCCCTTCCTAAGCACCTTCGACACCCCCTTACTGTTCTTTTTATGCTTCCTAATCCCTTTACTACATTCTTACACTATTATATCTTTTCCGCTTCCTCTCTTACACTTTCAAGCTTAACTGAACAACTTCACGTTCATTGCTCTTTTGTCACGTTCAACTACCCTTCTCTTTCCTCTACTGCTTCAGCAGCTCATTCATCTCTCGCTCCTCTTCGCCATCTTCTTTCTTCATCTTCTCTCTTTTACTCTTCGATTCGATTCTAATGAACTCTCATTTACTTTCGGTTTTCCTTGGCTTCTGAAAGATCCGTTCTTTTTCGATCAAAGCGCCATCCCCGATTACTTCCTCGTCGTTCTTTCTTACACACTCTCTCTTGATGCACTCTCTGGCTCGTTGTAAAACGATCTCCTTATTTCTCTGACCTCATCCATTTTCTCTCAATCTGTCTTCTTCTCTTCTTTCCAACTTTTAGCTCTTTTTTCCCGTGAATCTCAACATTTTCTTGCTCACGCTGTATGTGTAGGACATTCTACCACAATCCTTCCATCACGGTCTGAGTGTATGTTCTCTCTCTGTAGCGAAAGGAGTCAGTTCCGAGTCGCGGCAAAAAAAGCGTTGTAAGCGGGGTCACGTTCGCACCAAGAACCCATCCAAATAATGCAACAGTGCTGCGGTGCGCCGACTCTCTCGACTCCTGCTGCATCTCTCAAGTCAACTAGCTCTCCGTGTCTGGGTCTGTCAAGTCAACTAGCTAAAACATACGCTGCTAATGCGCACGAAGCCGCGACTCGGAAGTAACGCTCATCACCCTGTAGCTCTCGCTCTTTCTCTTCTCTCACATGCTAGTAATGTTAGAAAGCCTGAGATTAGGCTTCTAATGAATGTCCCGGTGTTTTGAAAGAAGTACAACCGCACTCGAATTGTGAGTTCAAGCCACTAGCCTCTATTAAGCGTTTCTGACCTGAACAGTTGCTAAGCTAGGATAAATAAAGTAAAATAAAGAGATTAATTGGCATCGCAAACGCTCGGAGACAAAACGAGAACACAGTGAGATTGCCTCTAGAATAGAAGTCATTCGCAAGAAATTACATAAAATGAGTTATTCAAAAAGCCGGACAATGGCAGTGCACTGCGACGTTGGTGATGGTACAGAGTTATCAAAGCGACTTAAGGCTTCACCCATCAACTTCATCAGTATGTGCGTCTTTTTAACTTCCTTTACAATACAACCTTGCTCTTAGCAAGGTGGGAACCCGAAAAACTGAAATCCATAAGATAAAAAGCTAGCTATCTTCCTATATATACAAATATTACCGTTAGGATAGTGGAAAACTACCGTGCAGAGGTTTGAAGGTGAAGTTCTGGATTGAAAACCGCACATAGTGGTGATCAGCGATGAAGGTGAAAGCTGTGCGAGTTTGTTGCAGAAAATAAAGGGAGGACAGTTGAAACGGTAAAATCAAGACTTATCTTCGACTTCACAACCACTAAAAGTTCAGGCCAGATTTTGATCGAAATTTTGGGGGGTAGGTTCCGCTAGAGATCTGATGCCCCAGCGGTGCTTGTATTCCTCGAACATGTCACATCCCCTTCACTATCGCCTGACGCCTTCACAGGCGGTGGTGTCGGAACATCCCCCCAGCATTAGGTTTTCTGCAAACTTGTCCCAAGTGGCAGTTAGATCCATCAATAGAAATATTATATCCGCCTAGAACGAAAGCTTTCTACTTGCGCTAACCTTGCGTCAAAAGGGCCCTGGAACGTGAGCGTCAGAAGTCTTGACCTCCAGCGGATGTAATGTTATTGCTGAGGGGATCGAACTACTCCCAAAGGCAAGATTTTGGCCAAATCTACCTCCCGAGGAATCTTCGATGGGAATGGGGTACGATTTCGTGGAAGGATGAGAGAGCAGAAAGATTTGTGGGCTAAAACGGGTCTGTCTAGGTTACTAGTTTATAGCACGCTTGCTGCGCATTTTTGAATAGCAAAACAAATGCAATTTCTGCGGTTGAAGGGTTCGTGCCTCATAGCGAACCACTGCTTTGTATGGGCTTATCGAGGAATGTGCCTTCAACAGACAAACCACGTTCGATTACTCAACACACCAACAAGTCAGCAAGAGCTGTTATGCATGAAAATGGCACATTCGTAAAAGCTATGTGTGACAAAATTGAGCAATAAGCTTTAGGCGTTACTACATATATTGAGCAAATTAGGTGCAAGATTAATCAGTAAGCATATATTTATGCAAAAGTATGAATGAACTGAATACCAAATGAAAATTTAGGGTTGGCAATGTTGCTGTTGATGGATGGTCTAGCAGGTAAGCTGAAAATTCGAGCAATTTCTACTTTAAGGGGCATTTCAGTTCAGATTGTTTTCGGGCAATTAAAAATCCACATGGCTCTGCGAGAATGGCGTGCCGAAAACTGCCGCTGTTTTGTTCTTTCATAGAAGGGGGCTAGAAAACATTCTCTAGGCCCCGAGTTCGATGAAGTGCACTTCGCCAAAGCCTTTATATCTCACCAGCCATGGATTTACCAATTCTGGACATAGTCGAGCTGTTCAAAAGTCACCAATTATTGAAGACAAACACACATCTCCAGGGATGTCCTTGCTATGTACGAGGCCAATGGGCCCGCAGCTGTAGTAGCGTACCACTTTCTCTGTCTAAAAGTGCACGGAAGCGGGGCTATAGGTTAGTGGTACCCAGATGCCGACTCCGTACTTTGCTTGCGCTATCCTCGGGGTTCAGCACCTGCGTTGATACCAAGTTTCCGCGCCAAACACGCACTCAGAGGTGGAGAACAACTAGACGTGAGAGGGCGTGGACAAATAGCGCGTTTGGCTGCCATTAGGCGTGTGCTTGGTCGTGCGGCAGCGCGTGCAGAGTATGGAGACGACACCTTGGCACCACTACCTTCCATGTTCCCGTGCACTTTCAACCAGAGAAAGTAGCACGCTACTGTGGCTGCGGTCGCAGCGTCCCCACTTACGGCAAGGATCTGGATCCACGGAGCTGAATGTATAGTTGGTGTTCAATATAAAACCCAATTCAGAATGGCGTTGTCGAATGGCGAATGGGAAGAAGTGACAGTATTTGCCTTTGGATAGTTTTGGCGCGACCGGCGAGAGAACCAGGGTCAGGCGCACGTCGAAGAGTCTAAGACTGGGGTCGTATTGACGGAGAAAGGTTAGGCATTGAATGGAGGATGCAGTACGCTACGCTTCATCTTGTAAACGACTCGTTAAAGTGATCGTACATTGATTGCTTATGTTATTGCATTAATTACTTCTGACACACTTATTGTGGCCCAATATAAATATAATGGGTTGGAAAGAAAGTCCTGTCAGTGTTTTTTTAAGTATTTACCGCTCAAATCTTGATCACGGAGCATGACGTGACATGCTGTGCTGGTAGAACATTCTCAAAACTTTCACGCAAGAGGGGTGCAATTACGATATCAGTTTCACAGGAGCAGCCTCGAGACGCTATTTTGTATGAGTGGCTTCGCGGCACAGGAGCGACGGCAATGGTCCGGTGATATCAAAAGCGCCATTGGAGAGGGACACCGCTACCATCAGAACTGTCCACCGCTTGGTTCGCTCCTTTCGCGAAAGGAGACACGGTCTTCGAAGGCAAACCTCGGTCGGGACGCCTCCACGAAGTGGAAGACTCCACCGTTCTCGAAGCTGTCGAAGAGGATCCGGAGGCTACCACCCGCAGTCTTGCAACAAGACTCGGGTGTACCTGTAACTGACAGTCATTGACCGCCTCAGGGCCCTCCATCGAAAAGCGCTGGCTCGGTGGATACACCCGTAAAGCTGTTGGACAGAAATGCCCGAGGCTAGCTTCGGGTCACCTCGTTCGTGATGACACGAGACCCCGTGCTGCTATGGACACATACCATATAATTGAGAAGCAAGGCTGAGAGACTGCACCCCGCCAACCTATTCTCCTGATATAGTCCCCTACAACTGCTACCTCTTTCTCTTCCTTAAAGGCAGTTGGCACGATAAATCCCCCAAGACGACTAGGATCAATACTCCTGGCAGGATAGAATTCCGCGACCCTGGGCAGGCGCTGCATAGCGGTTTCCCCGAGGAAGGTGCCCTTATAAGGGCCCTATCAAGCCACAACTTTACGTCCCAAACGCCCGCCACGCCCGCCCGCCCACAAATGGACGACCGTTCCTGACGCTCGTATTCATTCATTTGCTAAGCAATGAAGCGAAGGGATTGGTATGAAGCGGCCGTGATGCTGCATGCATATATGGGTACACATATGCAGCCGTATCTTCGGTAGCGGTGATTGGTAAGATGCCTACGGGAAACTCGTCCGAAATCGATTTACAAGTCACTGAGAACGGAGGCTTTTTCTTCGCAGGATTTTGACCGTTTCACTCCGTTCTTTCGCCATTTCCCCACTATACAGCGCCCTACTAGCATTTTAGGCTAAGTAGGAAACCATCGTGCCAACTGCCTTTAAGGCTTGCTTAGCAAAGAAAACCGTCTGCAAGTTTGATGACACCAGTCGAGAGAACCCGACTTCTTTGACTCGCAGTCTCCCCACTTATTAGAGAATGGTACCTATGACCTGCCAATTACATAGATGGAGCACTGTAGTGGCTAACAATTGTTAATGTATTGTTGAATAATTTCTATGACGTTGAGCTAGAAAATAGAAAGAAATCGCAATAGTGACAAGACTTTCTTTCCGGCCTAATACATAAGCTCTGCCGCATGCGCTCAAAACTTCTCCGATTACATATAAGAAGGAGAGACACACATAACATGGAAAGGATAAAAATCCTCTTCAGAACACACATGAGTTGTTCCAGAATCGCTGCGATTGCGCTAAAGTAGGCAGTACCTGTGTACAACAAGTTCGATTTTATCGCGTGAGGTGACGAGGAGACGATCAACTGCGTTGATGTCGAGGTTTCCAAGACCCTCGAGCTGATCGATGATATCTCCGTCCCGAAGACCGGCGCGATCCGCTAATGAACCACCAACGACCTGCAAATTGCCCAAGTTAATGCTACTGTTTGAACTCGTTATACGTTACGAGATCAACTTTTAAATATAGCCAGGTTTGAAAAGAAACCCTATGATTTGGTTGAGCATCGAAAACTCCGTAGAAGCAAGGTTCTCAAATGGACGGGTGCTGTTTCACTGCATGAACATCCCAGTGGGTCGAGTGGTGCCTTATTAGGACAGTGGCATGTCAGGGGCAGTGAGCTGTTTTAAGCAGAAAGGCCGGATGTCTCAAGAACCTCCTGCGGTTCCGCGTCAATGTTCATGTGGAGGTACATTTCGAAGGTACTAGCCGTTCTCGAGAAAAATCCTCTTTGTTCAGCATATTTTTCCGCAGGAGGTTTCCAAACCCATACCGAAAAAAAGGAAATTAAAATTGATCGAAGTGAAATAATTCAATTCACTAGGGGATTTTACCATTGAGCTATCGTTCCCATATGCTCTGCCATCCCCGGAGCTCGCAAGGGAAATGAACGCCTTTTTTGTAGGGGAGGGGGTACTTGCAGCATGCAATAACCACAATAACAGTATCAAAAAAGCGGCGCCGAAGACCCCCCCTGTAAGTGTCCCCGTCGTGGCAAATATTATTGGGAAGTTTGTAATAGGAGACTGAAATTCCAAGCTTTAGACATTTTGTGTACTGCAGTGAGAAGGGGGTTACCTTGTGTCTGAATGTGTGAGACCTTAGCAGTGGATTACATACATATGCACCTTAAGAGCGCGTTTTTCTAGCTGCTGAAATACTACCTTATTTGGGAATAACGAAATAATAAAACTCTCCCAGTAATAAACTACTGGAAATGTACCTCTAAGGTGCGGATCAATCAAAGTGATCAAATGAGGTAAAATTAATAATTTTATAAAATAGTTAGATTAAAAGAATCATATCGAAGTCTTTGTTGTACGGTCTTCCAAAGCTTCAAGCTGTTGTGCGACCTCTTTTTATTATGGACAGTGAACCTCACTTTCATTCGGTATCTTTGCAAGAAACGGTTTAGGTTCGGCGCTGACAAATACTCCTCAAGATACATCAAGAATTCAGCCTCCATTGTGCATCCCAGAAGGGTCCTGCAGCGTGCAGTGAGCTTGAGGGTCTTTCTTGGAGGCCTTCTTGGATTTTCTGTGAAAGAGGTGTCTTCGGAGTGGAGAAGCCTGGTTGATTTGGACACAACTTTCACACTCACCCTCGAGGGCGGTCCTTGACATATCCGAGGGGAATGGATTCACAGCTGCAGTTGGGCCTTTTTTCTGTGCTCAAAAATGTATATGAGCAGGGTTGTAGGGTAGTGGTACCGATTAGCGGTTCCATACTCCGCTCGCGCTATCCTCAAGGTGCAAGGTTGTTCGATACCAGAATCCCATGGCAAAACGCGCACCCAGCGGTACAGCAGACGTGAGAGGGAGCAGACAAGTAGTACGCCTGGCTATGGTTAGGCGTGGGGCTGGCCATGCAGCAGCGCGGGCGGAATATGGATACGGCACCTAGGTATCACTATCCTCCAGTGCCCTTCACTTTCGGCAGAGAATGTGGTACGCTACTGCGGCAGAGGACCCATTCTCCCTATGTACGGCGAAAAGAGGTATTCGAAGAGGTGAAGTGTGCAGTTCGTCCTCAATGTTTCGCCGTTTATTTTGTCAACCTTGCTAAAATCGAACGGGAAAAGCAGAAAAGCTTTGAGCAGTCAAGCTCCTAAGATAGCTTTTACTGCCCAGTATACTTTCTCACAAGTCCTTCGAGAAATTTCTATCATGATAACTACCACCACGCCCAGAAACCTTTGCTGTGAATCAGTACTCTGCCACCGCGTGGACATAATTTAGATGTGATATTCTAATTGAACTGGTCCTCGAGCAAACAATGCACAATAGGGGTTGATGTGCAATACTCAGTCTAGCCCTAAGTGTTGGCTGGTCCGTCTCTACCAAGGATATTCAGAGGGATACACAAGTTAGACGATCTTAGTTTCGTTCCTTAGAACAATGTTGAAATATCTCAAATATCCTGTCACCATGCAAAGCAGGGCAGCTTCGTTCTCGTAGGTCTGCCTGTTTTATGACATTTAGCGAGCTTCTTCTAGCGACGCGGTCTTTTGAAGGAGAGATATAAAAGCAACATTAAGAGCCTTCTGATACAGGATTTCCGAACTATGAGGTTTTCCTCTAACCGGGTATTTCTTGCACACTCCGGAGCTGAAATTTATGATGGGAAATATTCAGCCATATACCCTGAAGAAAATTATGGCAACTGCATTCACCAAGCTTTTTAGGCCAATTCATCTCCAACAGGTTTGTAATCAACCACCGTCGTCCATGACATTCTGCTCTTATTTGAC